CACTAGGAGTTTATTCATGGTACAGTAATCAACACTGCATTACCGTTCTTCTTTAAACGGCAGTCTGTATCATGTTACTGTTCTTCTACAAACTTAGTGATGTAAGAAATTGAGTCCTGCTCTTCGTTACATACAAAATATTGCATAACATTATTTTTTGTCACATAATTTTATTGAATTTGTATCAGGATAGGTTTCGTTAGTTCAGGCTAGTTTACATTACATCACCTTAGATTATGTTATACTATACTAAGTTAGGTTTAAGGCTAGGGTTATCTCCAGATGCCCAACAACGGACAGTAATGCAGAATGCTTCCTAAAACAAAACAAGAAAATAGAAGCACACGAAAAAGAATAATTAAAGGCTACTAAAAAACTGTAGATTAACTTACCAAAAAACGAAATGTCTTTACAGAGCAAAACAATTTACAGGGCTTGTTAATTCATGGTTATGAATGATGAAGAAAAAAACATAAAAAATAATCATTATATAGAATGTTTTATGAAATATGGATATTTGTATGTATAAACTCACACATATATATATATATGTTTACAAAGCTATCGGTTTTTAGAGTTAGGCCATTTACAGAGATTTTTTTATTTAAGTTCTTCTTTATTAGTTTACCTAAATCCTAGTGACAGATATTTTATTTGTATATATATATATATGTTGAACATTGTTTTTCACCAGAGGCGAAAAACCATGAAATTGAAAAGAGAATCGGTGACCTAAAGGCCGAATACATTATTTGATTGGACGTACCTTCTGCTATGGACTGCTTGCGGTTCAACTATGTGGCGAAATGTCATAACATTATTCACATACCAAAATTAATTTAGGTTATTATATGGTGAAGTAAAACGGACTCAAACCACAGATATTTCACTTGTTGAATGAAAAGGTTTTTTATGTCACTAGATACAGGATAAAATGTGCTGCCCTCCATTATTCAGATATTTTAAAACATTTTATTTCATTCTTCTGGATACTACATAATAGTGTAGTTTAAGTTTGTTCAATGACAACATGTAAATATAATAGAAAACAAATGAAGTTGGAAATGAATAAAACAGAGACAAAGTTATGTTTCTAAACTGAACATAATGTTGAGGTGAAATTTGTGATAACTTTTACTGTGATTTTTATTTGAATATAAAAAAATTTGTTTCTTTTTCATTTTATTTTAATATCCTAAATTTTCAAATTTTTGATTCTTAGTTTGACTTTTGAAAACTGCCTAAAGATCGATGAAAACAAACATATTGTTAAGTATCTGCTCGTTTGTTCATTTCCGGTATAAATTATTTCCGAGGAACTTCAGCGAT